AATCCTTAGTTCCAAGTTAATTTTCACTACCTAGCTGATAAAATATTATCTGAGCATGTACTAAAGAATGGATTTTTACAGCTTAGTGAGATAAGTCATTCATACTCTAACGAGGATATTTTAAACAGAGCTGGTTATTCCTGTAGGGAACCATATTCAGATCAAACTAATTTCTTAAATGACATAAAAGGAGTGAGCAGCTTCGAGGTGTCTTATGTAACTGACTGAGTGCTGATGGCTTGGAACTAGATGATGGAATGACAGAGGAAAGGGAAGATGAATCTTTGAAATGGCAAAAATTATAATTTAAAAATCATAGTAAATATCACCTGCCAGGTATTAAAATGGTTAAAGAGCTTATTTTCTACACTGCTATTGTGATAGGTTTTACAAACAAATAATTTTAAGTACACTAACCTGTTAAGTACCAGTAATTAGTTCAGGAAAACAAACACAAATGTTCTTGAAGAGAGAGCAAACCCTGAGGGAATTCAGGCCTCTGAAATTATGCTAAGAGTTACTGAAATAATTCTGGAAGACTCCTACCCCAAATAAAAATATCCTTTAAATTTTTCTTCTGTTCTCATATATATATATATATATATATATATATATATATATATATATATATATATATGTATATATCTTCCATGATAGCTAATTGACAGGATTACTTGCTAATAAGACCTGGTAATAGATCAAACTGGCTGTAGTATTTTGGGTTTTCACCAGAATTAGGGATCTATAATACCTGTGAATGGAAAAAACACTGGATTGACAGACAATAGTTTTGCTACTAAGTAGTGTAATGGAATTTGGTTTTGCCATCTCCCCTAGTTTTCCTGTAAAATACAGAAATGAGATTACATGATCTCCAAGGCCCATTCTAAAAACTCCCAAGTTCCACAATTTTTTTGAATATTCTTTTATACATGGACACAATATCTTTATTTTATTTATTTGTATGTGGTGCTGAGGATTGAACCCAGTGCCTCACACGTGCTAGCCCAGTGTTCTACTGAGCCACAACCCCAGCCCGAAGTTCCACAATTTTAAGATGGCTCTGAACACGTTTGCACAAACAAGACTCTAACATTTAATCCTGTGAAATAAACAAAAAAATATGTAGAAAGTGGCAATATGGGAATAGCATAATATTTTCTTAAGTATCTCCCCATAGATCCATTGTTGTTAGTTTCTTTTTTGTACTTCATCAGCCCTCATGGTTCCAAGAAAGGAAGCAGAACAAATCTGGAAAAGGACATAGTACAGATAGTACACATAGAAAAGTTTCTGACATACAAGGAGAAAAATTTGCCCTTTGTAACCCTAGAGGATGATGGAAAGAAGAGGACAAGGAAAAAGTAAGATCTAGTGTGCTTTCTTCCCTTCTCTGGGTGGAAACTAAAATTGAATATATGTAGTTGACATATTCACATAAATAATGAGGAAAGTCAAGAGCTGGGGATAATGGTTTGCTTTTCTGGGAATTCCTCTGAAAGGTCAAGACCTCTAGGAGCTCTTCTTTCAGTTTGACACCATACTTAATATGACACAAGGAAATTAATGCAACAGTGGAGAAGTGAGATGGTCCAACAAGCCCAAAGCAAGGTCCTTGGTTCATCAAGTCTTACATGAAGTATCTGGAAAATCCAGAAGTGCCCATGGGTCTCAGTGAGAAGATAAAGTGGCATCCAGAGGATCAATGGCCTTGTGGAAACCTGGGGTCAGTAAATATGTTGTAGTGTGTGGAGGGGGGAAATGCCTCAGTATGGACTTCAACAAAAAAACTATGACATTTCTGAAGGACAGAAATAACCAGTTTTACTTTTTTTTTTTTTTTTAAGGTATATGGATTGAACCCAGGGCCTCACACATGCTAGGTAAGCAAGCCCTCTACCACTGAGCTACATCTCCAGGTTCTTTATTTTTTTATTTTGAGACAGCTAAATTGTTCGAGCTGGCTTCAAACTTAGGATCCTTCTGCCTCAGTGTCCTGAGTTGCTGGGATTACAGGTGTGTGCCACCACATCCAGCCTTTTTACTTGAGGCTTGCAGCCCTACTCTTAGACCATATCAGCTACTACATCCTAGGACAACATGGCATTTATGGCTTAGATTCTCTTCCCTCATGCCATGTAAGCCTCTGGGCAATTCCCAGCCCACTAGTCACTATGTAAATTTTAAAAAAGGTACTCCCTTTTTGAAGACACTTTACTTTCATCTTCAGAAAACTGTCAAAATAGAAAAACTAATGTCACATTACAAGAAGTCACATTTACTGCCATTGGCCAGAGAACTGTCATAGTAGGTTTAGAAATTAGGATATATACAAAAGACACCCTCTATACCTTATACAACAACTCTCTTCCCCCATACATATTTTGGAATAAGGAGAGAAGAGAGAAAATCTGAAAGATGATACTTATATAAAATAAATTGGATAAGAAATTCCTGACATACAAGAAGGAGACTTGTATGGACTTGAGGTTAAAAAATACAGAAAACAAACAAGTTACATTTTCTTTGTACATTTGAATAAGTAAATCTTCAACCCTACCACATTAGAATACAAACTCCCTATGCCATTTATTTTATCAATATTTCCCATAGCACCTCACATATTATTCATTCATGGAAGGAACAAATAAGTACTTGAATATAAAAGTAAAATTTTAGAAATATCAAAAATATGGACACACATTGTAACTATTATCATGTGACTTTCCTGTATTTTTATTCCCCCTGTATTTTTATATTTATTTGAAACAAATGTAAAACTGTGTTTATTTGCACCTAGCCAAACAACCATAAACGTTTGAAGCTCTTCAAGCTGTTTTTTTTTTTTTTTTTTTTTTTTTTTTTAATAGGTGACCTTTTCAAGTATGTTTTTGAAAAGGAAACCTGGATGTAAGTTTCTCCATTTTCTGGACCAAGTATAGATCATCTCAAAAACACAGAACTTTATATCAGAGAAAACATTTGGAATTTGTTTTTTTGGAATTGGCTAACTTCACTTAGCATTATCTTCTCTAACTCCATCCATTTACCTGCAAATGCCATGATTTTATTTTCTTTTATTGCTGAGTAATATTCCATTGTGTATATATGCCACTTTTTTTTTAATCCATTCATCTACTGAAGGGCATCTAGGTTGATTCCACAGTTTAGCTATTGTGAATTGTGCTGCTATAAACATTGATGTGGCTGTGTTCCTGTAGTATTCTCTTTTTAAGTCCTTTGGGTATAGACAGAGGACAGGGATAGCTGGGTCAAATGGTGGTTCCAGTCCCAATTTTCAAAGGAATCTCCATTCTGCTTTCCATATTGGCTGCACCAATTTGCAGTCCCACCAGCAGTGTATGAGGATTCATAGTGGCATAGGGAGGGGAACATGGGAGGACTAGAGGAAGTCTAGACAGGGCAGAGGGTAAGACAGGAAAGGAGGGGGCATGAGGTCAGAAACAAGGATGGAATGTGATGGACATCATTATCCAAAGTACATGTATGAGGACACAAATTGGTGTGAATGTACTTTGTATACAACCAGAGATATGAAAAATTTGTGCTCTATATGTGTAATATGAATTGTAATGCATTCTGCTGTCATATATAAATAAAAATAATAAAAACAAAACACAGAACTTTAAAAAGTTAGAAACACCATTATATAGTACAAAATAAGTTCTTACTTAAAAGGGAGTGGAACCCTAATGTCTGGAATGATGGAAGTAATTTGCCTAGAGTCACATATCAAATCTGGGACTCAAACACACTATATGATACTGGCTTACATCTCTTGTGCCTCTCCTTCTATCATGCTTTTAACAATTATCTGTCTCAAACCCAGGCAGCAATTGATGAAACTCAAATGAGAGAAAAATCACCAATAGAGCTGAAAACCAGAGAATCGAGAGGTAAGCTCATAGTTTTACCACATCTTTAAAAAAAAAAAAAAGATAAACAAAAGAGAGCAAAGAGAATTGAGAACAGCAGCTAAGGAATCAAAACCTGTCTTCCTTGGGGAGAGATTATGCTGAGGGGACCAGATACAAATACTAAAGATAAAGCCTCTTGGGGTTTTCTTTTCTTTTGAGTTTGTGGGTGTGGAATCTAAGTGTTACTGAAATAATTCTGAAAGAATCCTACCCCAAATAAAAATACCCTTTAAAATTTTCTCCTGTTTTCTCTCATATATAACAAAAAAGGAAAAAAGCAAATCACATAAAAAATCTGTCTCAACACATTTACTTTATTTCTTCTCTCATATATTATCTTCTCGAATAGTACATATAGACCATTTTTTCAAAAACCAAAGCAAACTGACCAAAGGTCAAAACCTTCTGAAAGCTTAGATGACTATGATTAAGAGTCAACTCCAAACTTTGGTTACCAACCTCAAAGCTCGGCTAAGTAGATCTCAAAGATTTGCAAGTACCCTCAGCTGGGCTAAAGGGCACAGAACCTCTAGCGCTCCCTACAGCTCATATTTTAAAACTACCCACCCCAGAACACCGGAGTTATCAAAGATTGGCTCCCTCGCTCCACTTTTTTCCGCTTAAAAAATCGGGGGTGGGGGGGGTGAAACGGCGAAATGAAGGATTAATCACTTCTCCCCATTACATCAGCAGCCCCCGCCCTTTCCTCCGAGTACCTCCTCTCCTCAAGCAGTCGCTACGCACTGGCGCTCTCTTCGCCTACCCCCAGCTCTATTATATGCCCTGATACCTCCCCATTATCACCCGCCCCGACACACTCCCCCTTCCCTCTTTTCCCCTCCTCGGCGGGGGAGGGAAGAAACCCAAGAGAGGAAACAAGGCGTTGAAGGAAGGGACTTCGCGATAAGAGCAGAGGTTCCATTGGCCCGAAGGTTGTATGGCCGCTCCCCATTGGTCTTCTGGCCGGAATCCCCGCCTCCAGCATTCCCCGCCCATTCACCCCTCCCCCCCGCCCGAGGCCCTCCCCCGCGCCCCTGGCCAGCCCCGCGGCGGGGAGGGACCGACTGGGCGAGAGTGAAGGCTCCGGCGGTGTCAATGGCTCCTCCTGCCACGGAGCAGCAGCAGAAGCAGCAGCAACGGGGCTGAGGAGGAGGAGGAGGAAAGGTTCCTTTAAGGAGGAGGAACGACGACGCCTCTTTTTCCCCCAATCTCCTCCCTTTACACTCATTTCCCCTTCGCCGAGGAGAGAAGGGGGGAGGAGAGAGAAGAGGCCGAAGAAAGAAAAAAAAAATTCCTCGCAGAAATCTCTTTCAGGGGGTGTGGGGGGGAGGAAGAGGGGAAAAAAAAGAGCCGGGCGCCCCCCGCTCCCTCCCTCCCTGTTCTCCCTCTCTTCTCCTCCTTCTCCCTTCCTCACCCGCCCGCCCACTCCCCCCGCCGCCGGAGACGCCGCTCGGGAGTCGGCGGGACCCGGGTCTGTCTCCTCGGCCGCCGCCGCCGCGCTTCGTCTCGGGATCCCCAAGCGGGCGGACGCCCTTTCTTTCTCTCTCTCTGCCCGTCTTTCTGTCTCTGTCCCTCGCGGCCGCCCCGCCCGGCGGCCTCGGCCTTCCCCGTGCGCCAGGCCCGCCCGGCCGTCCTCGCTCGGGCTCAGTCTGTCTCCCCGGCCTTTCTCTGGACTCGGGGTCCCGCTCGCCCCCTCCGCCCACACCATCTCCCCTTCCCCTCGCCCCTCTCATTCCTCCCCCTCCCCACCCCCTTCTCCTGCCCCGGAGCTCGCTGTGCGTGTGCGCGTGAGTGTGTGTGTCCCTCCGCCAACGCCGCCACCTCAGCCCGGCAAATGAACTCCGTCCGAGCCGCCAACCGGAGACCCAGGCGAGTGTCGCGGCCGCGCCCGGTGCAGCAACAGCAACAGCAGCCACCGCAGCAGCCGCCGCCGCAGCCGCCCCAGCAGCAGCCGCAGCAGCAGCAGCCTCCGCCGCCGCCGCAGCAGCAGCCTCCGCCGCCACCACCGCCGCCTCCGCCGCTGCCTCAGGAGCGGAACAACGCCGGCGAGCGGGGTAAGGCCGCTCTCCCTCCCCGCCGCCCGCAGGTTCGGGCGCCTGGCCGGCCGGGCACGGTGGACGGGGAGCCCTGGCGGGTGGGGGCGGCCTGTGCGCTACGGGGGTGGGAGACGGAGGCCGAGCGGAGGCGGGTCCCGTGGTGCCGCAGTGTCAGCCCGGGCCCTGCCGGGCCGTCAGGAAAAGCCGCGGCTTTCTGACTCTCCTGGGCTCTTGCTCAGGCCGCGCTTTGTTTGGTTTCGGGGGCTCGGCACCCTCCACCCCCACCCCTCCCTGGGGCTTCTCGCCTCGTCTGCGGACCCCGTGGGAGTCTGTAGGTGGCTGGAGGAAAGGCTAAGGGTGGGATTTCCCCCTTTTCTGCCGCCTTCCACGGTCCGATCTCCCCCTTTCTGTTGGTAGGTGGGGGGAATGGCTGGGAGTGATGGGGCGGTGGGGTTGGCTGGGGAACTTGTTTTCCCCTTTTCTCTCTCTTCGCCTCCCCCTTCCTGTGGAGGAGGGGGAGAGGGGATCCGAGTGGTCCGTGGTGTTGGCCAGGGAACTTGTTTCTCCCGGCCCACCCCCACCCCCGGTCACGGGGTAGGGGGAGCAGCGACTCCTCTTCCAACCCCACGATGTTTGCTGCGTAGTTTGTCTTTAGTTATAGAACCTCTGGGAAAGACCCGTTAAATCGAGTCCTTTAGATAAATAAATATAGAATCCATCGGCCATTTCCACCCCCTCCCTCGTGTGCTGTGCAGTTACCCTTCCGCTCTGTCGGCACCCCCTCGATGTTTTCTCCCCTCGCTACCCTTCCACGCCGCGGTGCTCCCCTCCATCTCCTAGTGGGGTTTGAACACCCCTTCCATAGAACCGGCCTCTTGGGTGTGTGTGTGTGTGTGTGTGGGCGGGCGCGCGCGGGCGCTCGCGTGTGTGTTGTGACCAAGGCCTAGTGAAATGTGTCATTTGGACCCAACTGTGCAGCACTGTCTGGTAACCACCATTGTCTAAGGGCTGAGGCTCCCCGGGGTTGGATTCCTGCTTTAGCAAAAATAATGTTCAGCTTTACTTGGATGATATGATTATTTTGGGAGGTTTGTGAAATAGAGGTGTTGCACCTGGATCTCTAAACACAACTATTCTCTTTATTAATTAGCTGCTTGCAGTGGGGTGGAGGTCAATACCGTATTTTTTGTGTATGGTTGTTGTTTTAAGGAGGAGAATTGTTAGGAGACATTTTGCCTGTTTTAGTTGCCGGATTAAGGTTAATTTCACTTGCGTTGGTTGTCACATCCCCGTTGGTGAAGAGAATTAAAGGCATTTTTAAAATTATACATTCTTTCCTTAAAAACTGTTTCATTGTTTTGATCCAAATATTTAACCAGTGAAGATGTTAATCTGAAAAATAGTTTATAGGTTTTACTGTAGTCACTGTTACAGATAGTCTTTGAGAAAACAGTTTGCTATATGTTGCTTGAAAGATGTTTTAAGCCAGTTAGAAGTCTTGTGCAACATAATTGGTAAATATGTTTTAATGATTCTTTGATGCGTTTACTAGTTTCTTGGCATATTTAAAAATTTTGAGTCTCATTATTTCCTTTCACATATATCAGTTCTTCTGGTATTCCATTCAAATATTCAAGTCTCTTTCCAGAATTACTATTATGTATGATCATATATTAAAGTGTTTTTGAGAAAACAATGACAAAATTGAAATGCTAGCATTTAATATTAAGGATTCTTCTACTACAGTAAGCTTTTTCAATATGTGATTTGTTAATAACATGAGCACTGAATCAAAATATTTCAGCCAAACTTAATTTACTCCAATTGTGTATTTTTTAGATGTTTATTCTGCATCTCCATTTTGCAGTTTGTGTGTAATTTCAAACCTGGTTCAGGTGATTTTGGGACAATTTTCTTCAAAATTATTAGCTACTGAACTCTTTGTACTTAAATTGGAAGTAAAGTGACTTGGTTGTTGATAGTAACAAATTAGTGGTAGTTTTCTTTTCTTTTTAATTGATATTCATAAACTGACAGATGATGTTCATGAATCAGAATTTCAGTATGTACCTAACCAAGTGGTAAATGAAATTGTACTGTAGGATTGTTCCCTTGCTGCAGCCAGGAGATTCTGGAGGTTCAGTGTTGGCACTGAGGGGAAAAGAACTTGCTGATTAGCCTTCAGGGAAAATAGTCTCTCAAAGAGAAAATAAATGGCCTCAAAATGAATTAAACATTAAGAAAAATTAAAAGACTAAAATAATCAAAGTTTTGCAGGACTTAGTTAAAATAGACCATTTTTTGAAAAATTGGCATTTTGATTACATTTTTAAAATAGGAAAGTCACATAATGTTCAAAAGTTAGCTAAGAAGAACATTATCTTAAGTTTTATGGAACATAAAGAGTATCACTACTTCTAGTTTGGAAAAGAGGTTTTGTTTTTGGTATTTGTTTAAGAATATGCTGGATTTAATTTGATAAGGTTATTAAGGAACTAAAGCTAAAACAAGTGTGTGCCCCCGCCCCCGCCTCCCCAAACCTTTTACTAACTCTTGGTGAGCATGTAACTCTTGCGTTAGTCTTGGATAGAATTACATAATAGTGGACCAGCCAACTTTCCGGTAGGAAATCAAAATGAGACTCACTGTTTTAAGGTTAGTTCAATATATTTAAAATCATGTGCTTTAGGCTTTCAAAGAAAAATTTTAGCACCCTAGTTTTTAGCTGCTTTCTCACCCACAGGTTAACTGGAATAAAAACTTGATAACACGTTTAAATATATTTACATATACATAACATATTTATGTTGCACACACACAGACTTTCTCTTACATGTAATACCAGTGTTTGAAGAGAAAGAAACTAAATACTGGCCCGGGTATTTCATGGAATGTTGTCTTCATTCATGCTATCTTAAGTGGTCTGTTTGTTGTCTTAAGACTGAATACTGCTCATTAGCCTTCTTAGACTTAAAATTCCTGAGTTTGGGGGGCTGGAGATATAGCTCAGTGGTAAACCACTTGCCTATCATGCATGAGGCCCTGGGTTCAATCGTTGCCAGCACCACAAGAAAAAAAGTTTCTGAGTTTCAGATTTCATACCACTTTAAACTAGTAGAAAATAGTTTGTGTTCCATATGGTCACAATTTGGTAATATATTCCATCAGTTAATGAAACTGAAAGTAGTGTGGTATTGTGTCTATAATATTTGTATATTTTATTTATATATATATATATACACACACCACACACACACACACACACATACATACACATACATACATACACACACACACACAAATATATTTTTGGTACTGGAGATTAACCCAGGGGGGCTTAACCACTGAGCCACATTCCAAGCTCCACCCAGTTTAAAAATTTTTATTTTTTGGGGTGGGGGGGCTCACTGAGTTGCTTAGTGCCTCCCGAAGTTGCTGAGGCTGGCTTTGAACTAGAGTTCCTCCTGCCTCGGCCATCCAAGCTGCTGGGATTACAAGCACAGCCTTAGCCACCATGCCTGGCTTATTTTGTATTTTTGATACATGAAAATTGTACATATTTATGGGATCCCATGTGATTTTTTTTTCAATACATGTTTACATCATGTATTGTTCAAGTTAGGGTAAGTGCTATCTGTCTCCTCGAATATTTATCATTTCTCTGTGGTGAAAACATTGAAACTCATTTTTTCTAGCCTTTTTGGAGTATGTGAGGCATTGTTGTCATTTGTAGTCACCCTACTATGCAGTAGAATACCAGAACTCATTTCTCTTTTCTGTGTCTTAGTACCATTAACCAACCTTTTCTTTTTTCCTTCCCTCAAATCTGCTCAGCTTCTAGTAATTACTGTTCTACTCTCAACTTCTATGAGATCAACCTTTGTAGATTCCACATATGATTGAGATCATGTAGTATTTTTCTTTCTGTGCCTGGTCTGTTTCACTTAACATAATGATGTCCAGTTCCATCCATGTTGCTAAAGAAATGACAGAATTTCATGTTTTTTAATGACTGGATAGTATTCGTGTGTGTGTGTGTGTGTGTGTGTGTGTGTGTGTATAGCATATTCTCTGTCGATTCATCAGTTAATGGACACTTAAGATTGTTTCCATTTCTTGGCTATTGTGAATAGTGCTGCAGTAAACATGGGAGTATAGATGACTTTTTAACAATGATTTTATTTCTTTTGTTTATGTACCCTTGTTATGTTTTAAAATTCTAGAAGGATTGAGCTTTTGCCACCTGTTCTCAGTTTAACTTCTTTATCCTTGGAATCTGTTTTTTAAATTTTTTTCCTTAGAAGTATGGGCAAACTTAAAAGTGTGCTGAACTGCTATGTAGTAATCAGTAGTTTTTAGTTAAAATTAATTTCTTTGAATAGATTATAAATGTATATAGTTTAAAATTTGAAAGTCCCTTTCTTTTATCTGCCTACAGTTATTAAATTCTTTTTTTTTTTTTTTTTGGATGGGGGACTAGGGATTAAATCCAGAGACATTTTATTCCAAGCCCTTTTTAAGACAGGGTCTCATAGTGCCTGGCATGGTGGCATACACCTGTAATCCCAGTGATTCCGGAAGCTAAGGCAGGAGGATTAAGAGTTCAAGACCAACCTCAGTGACTTATTGAGGACATAAGCAATTTAGTGAGACCCTGTCTCAAAATAAAAAATAAAAAGGGCTGGAGATGTGGCTCAGTGATTAAGCACCCTTAGGTTCAGTCCCCAGTACCAAAAAAAAACAAAACGAAGACAGGGTTTCAGTGAGTTGCTTAGGTCCTCACTGAGTTGCTGAGCCAACTGTTAAATTCTTCTACCTGGATGCAGTCACTATTATTAGTTTTTCATTCTTTATGTTTTAATAAAAAATAAAATTTGAGTTCTGAAAATAATCTTTGCATGGAAGATTTTGAAAATAGGTGTAAAATTTTTTTCTCTAGTTAACTGGGAAAGCATAGGACTGTTTGAAGTGCTGAAAATTTAGTGATGTAGTTTGAGAAATTTGGCAAATGTCATATA